GCCCATCAACTCTTACAGTGTTGTCATAAAAGAAACGAACTAATTCGCGACAATTTGGACGAACCCTGAACATAAAATAGTTTTAGATACTACGAACTCAATTTTTGACTAATCACTTACCAAAAGAGGAGAATGAATGGTGTCAATATGGGACTGCTGAGTTCTTGTAATAAAAACATCCATTTCAACTGGAAAAACTGTTCAAATTCACGTCGTACTTGTTCCGTGTGGGCCTTGAAAAAAAGTATTACTGTAACATGAAATTCAGTCATAGAAAAGGTTTACAAGTTCTCTATAACATTTGAGAACAATGTAACATTTAAATTGTTAGTAAAATATGATTGGTGGAAACAGTGATCATAGAATCACTGGTGAGAATATAGTTGAGATATAGAATCATAGTCATAGAAGCAAATTCTAGGCATGGACAAACTGCCAACCTGTCCCTTCCATTCTACTGGCACATAGTGTAGTTCACTAGTCACATGAGCTAACAATACTTCTGGCTGCCACACAAGATTTTCATCAGAGATTAGACCATGGCATATCACCATGATCACACCACAAACGGAGATGACGGTAAGCACGTGTTCTATCTGAATCATTGTTCTCGATTATTACTGAGTCCTTCTGGAATTCAAGCAATTAGCCTTAGATATAACCTGATGAAACTAAATACGCAATTACTTCCAATCCCTTTCTGCAAAAATCTCGATTCAGTAGTGTAAGGGTATCTCTCAGCTTTATTAGCGCGAGAGAAAGCTACTTTGCAGAAATATACTATTTGAAATCCCCTAACAGATTAAAGATGGCGTGAGCTCAGCAACTTAGCTTCGAACCAACCTGCAGAACATCCTCGTCCCAAGCGGAAAGTATAGCTAGCACACCAGCTATGGCCCCAGCAACGAATGCAATATTTTTCGCAAATACCTCTGTTAGTGTTGAGTAGAACTGATTCAGATAGGCATTCGCATAAACATGCGATCTGTTCAGACGCGCATTTAGCTCGTGTGTGAGCTCGTTGAAATGTCTCACACGATACCTCAAATCATATCACATAACTGTAAAATTTTAAGTAAGAATTTGCAGAAGTGCATGTCTTACCTTCCATAGTTTGAATATCTGCGCATTCCAAGTGCATCAGGACGTCTCTTGATAAGTTCAGACAGTGTGAAGAATGAGTACAGAATTTGATACAGGAATATTAAGGGAAAGAATATAAGATTTAAAAATCCATACATTGCAACCTGAAATGTAGTTTTGGAAAAAAACTAGCAATAAACTTGATTTAAACCAAAAACAAGTCCTGTGTCATACAGTTCTATCAAGCTCTCCTTTTACGCACAGATAAAAAAAACTATGAAACTGAAACAGATCACCAAAACACAGATAATAATAACATCACTCCACTTACGTCTTTTTCCATTTGCCTCGTCAAAGTTTCAAGGTTGTCAAGATCCTTGTACTCTTCTTTTAAGTATGGTCCCGCCCAAGGTGAAGTAGACCTGGAATCCAATATATTTTGGAAAACGGAAAAGGAGAACAGCACCTCCAGGCACTTGATCGAAAAAATTCCAAGTAACAAAGGAAGCCCACCCGAAAAATAAGATACGCCGTAAATTAGACTTGAGTCCATTGGGAAAATAAGGGACAGGACCAACAAAAGGCACATTCAATACCGGTGGCAAGAGTCTCTAAAAAA